TATATATATATATATATATCGACTTATAAATGAAAAATTTTTAATTATTAATTTAAATTATCACACAGTAATAAAAATTATAAAACAGTATCCAATATATTTTTTAATAAGTGTATTAATGATTAAGTTCATTAATTGTTTTTAATTAACCTTCATTTTTTATCTTACCTTTTTCCTTTAATGTACTCTCTAATTTATTATATTTACGCTGAAGTTTTGCATATTTTGAAAATTCATCTACTATAGAGATTCCAGTCATTTCTTGCTTCAAAAGAACCAAATCATTTCGTAATTCCATGTCATGTTTGTTCAAGGTATACAAACGGGATGTAATCTGCAAAAACGAATGGCATATTTGAAAGAAATGTAATCAATGAACAAGCAATTAACAAATAACGTTCAAATACTTACGTATCTGATTAATGATGGAAAAATATATTCTAAGAGACAACTTACAGTCGATATTATAAATAAATTCATTTTATATTTTCAATGAGGTCAATTTCATATTTTATAATTATCTTTTCATCGGGTGTTAATCAAAGTATAAGAAATTATTACTCAACTTTTTGTGTAAGAGATTTTGAAGGTTAGAGCATTACACGAATGTTTCTCTCAACTTAAACATGAAAATATATATTATAGATGGTTAGCTTAATTACTAGGGAATTGACTGCAAGCACCGACTCATCTGTGCTGCAAGTTTTTAATTTTTTTCCGGTTGGTATAGCAGAACATTGATATATCGACTGGTACTTGTTCTTATTTCTATATTTAGTTGCTATTTCTATATATTTTTGTTTCTTTATGATCATTGATCATATACATTTTATGTTTCATAAGTAGCAAAGCATGTGGTACGATTAACCATGGATATGTCGACAGATTATTTAGAAGAATTAGACGATACAGAAAAAGATATATCAGAATCTCATTCGAAACTTCTTGAAGCTGTATCACAACTTGATAAAGGTCAAAGGTAAATAAATATAATGTATAACTATGATATACAATTCTTATTATTTTGTATATTACTATTTTCATATTTATGTATATTTTATTTTATAGATTATATATTATTCTTATTATTATAATATATAATACACATGTAATGTAATAAATATAATATAATTCAATGTATTCAATTTTTAGAGTGAAAAAGGCAGAACGAAGTGAACCTATATTGAAAGTATCAGAGTTTCATCTAGTAAAAAGTGGAATATGTGATCGAGATGCAGTTCATGTACATAATTTAGCCAAAACATTGGGACAAAAAGGTCATCATCATGAAATTGCTAGAAATTTACAAGCTATAAAGAGAAAGGTTCAAGTTTTAAGAAAACCATTGGAGAAACCAGCAGCAGATAGAGTAAGAATTTTCTTAGAAAATTTGTATGATCTTATTTGGATATTATGAATAATATTATGTTGAATATTATGAATAATAATATGTTGTTAACTATATTTTAGATAAAGAGAATAGTTGGCTTTAAAAACACGAAACAAGAATTAAAAAAATGGAATGCTATAATAACAAGAAACAGAACAGCAAAATCACTTCATTTTCCTTTGAATCAGTCATCAATGAAATTGGATTCATCTACAGAATTTGTTAAAAGATTTAGACTTCAATCAGATTTAGAGAAAGAACTTGCTGCACTAGAACCACAAAAAAATAATATTGAAGAAAAGAGTGACGAATTCTCTTTAACATTGAAGGAAATTATTATGAAAAGGAAAGAAGCTGCCAGAATCAGAGCACAGCAGGTTTGTAGTGAAATACTTATTGTATATACTTATTATATATACTTATTATTGCTGTTTATGTATCGTTTTTTAGTCTTATAGAGAAGCAAAGGCTCATCGTCAAAATAAAATTAAAAGTAAAAAATTCCATCGTGTTCAAAGAAAAGAGAAAATAAAATTACAATTGAAAGAGTTTGAGGAATTGCAAAAAACTAATCCAGAAGCTGCATTGGAGAAACTTGAACAATTAGATAAGACCAGAGCTGAAGAGCGAATGACATTAAGGCATAAAAATACAGGAAGATGGGCCAAATCTAAACAAATTAGAGCAAAATATGATAAAGAAGTAAGTATATCATGCATACACTCTAAAACGGTTTTAATTAATTGATTAAAGTTAGAATAAAAAATAAAATGTCAATTGTTTAATATGATTTTGATATAATTATTTTTTATTAAATATAATAAATAGTAACTGTGAAAATTATCTTTAATATTCTAATTTCAATATTTCAATTTTATTCAAATTAAACGCTGCATTAATGTTAATGTTAGACTCGACAAGAACTTGCGCAACAATTATCAGTTGGACGAGAATTAACTCAGAAATTAAAAAAATCAAATGATAGTGAAGAAGAAGATACGCCTGTGCAGTTTTTAGCTAGTGATAAAGAAAATCCTTGGGTAGGGAGTGTCAAAACTGAATCAGAAATTGACAAATTTGTCAAAAGTTATCGTAAATATTGGGATGATCAAAATAAAAAGTTAGAAGGCCAAAATATAAATATCAATTCTAAAATTACAACTGAAAATAAAAAAAATCCATTAAAGGATACGCAACTTAGTATTTTAAATGGTATGTTTACAAAAGTGATAATGAATTATTAAAAAGATTGTATCTTTTATTACTAAAATTTATTCCGCAGGCACGGATACTCATGTCAATATAAACTCTTTTGAAATCCAAAATAATGAAAAAATACAAGAAGCTATAAATTTGAACAAGTCGACAATTTCATTAATAGATTCTAGTTCAAGAGGTATGTTCGTAGATATAAATTTATTAAGTAATATTAAAAATACGATTCAGTCCTTTGATTATGTTATTCGGTGCCGAAGGACCACTCACTGATATGGGAATCTGTTTTGACTTGTTGATGATAATCTCAAGAAGCCTGATTGCTTCTGCTTGATGACTGCTTCTGTGTGAATGATTAAACTAAAGACGCCTGACTCCCGACTGATTCGTTTGACTAACTGACTGAAAATGACTAGCTGACTTGACTTGACTGATTATGGATCCCTGACTGTCTTTCTCAGAGTCTTCTTACAAGGAAATCTTTGTCTGCCTTTTCAAAGAGCTCTGAAGAGGATTAAGTCGGAACGGGGCATATGCTAAGACCAATCAGGAAGTACGAGGGAGGTTTCCAAAATTATTCATTACAAAACTGACTCGCGTGAGGTACGAGGAGCAATCTCATTATTTCCTGGAAACCATCCTATGTACTTCTAGTACGTAGCTGGCAATTGCCTGGTATATAAATGGCAATTGCTATTGCAAAAAAAAACTCCTTGAAATTAACTTTCTGGGGGACTTGGTTGTAAATTCTTTGAACTCTCTACACACGAGGAATGCGAAGAATGTGTAAAAATCTCTAATCCGGCTAATTAATTCTGAAACACGACCATGTCATAAATAGTATGCACTTTAACAAATAATATTAATGAATATTTCTTTTTCAGATAATAATACTACAAACAATAAACAACCACTTGAAATTAAGAGCCATAAGGAATATTTGACAAAAGTTAATGTTAAAAATGTAAAGAATAAGTCTTATAAGAAAATTATAGAAAATAACAAGTTAGATAATAATCTAATACAATTTAATAAAAAAATTAAATTGCCTAAAACAGATATAAATAACGTCACAGCTACTTCCAGTTGGAATGTAGAATCTATAGAAAATATTAATACAGAAAATTTCACAAATTCTAATGTATCAAATAGCGAAAAAATAAATAAACTATTTGATTTTATGGAAGAAAAGATTCAAGACCAAATTAAATCTGAACTTGAGCGTATTACCCAGAATTATGAGGAAATAAAAACTAACAAAAAAAGAAAGTCTAAAAACATTGAATTTAAAGATGATAATTTTGATGGTCTTGAAATTCAAGCGAAAAAACGAAAGCCTATTTTAGATTTAAGTTTAAATGAAAGTGCCTGCAAAAATAATTTGGAAGTGAATACCGAATTAGAAAGAATTAAACAAATAAAGCAAGATAACACTTTATCTATAGATAGATCAAACGCTTCTAAGATAGAAATAGACCCAAATAAATATATAAACATAAAACCTAAGCATTTAAATACAGATCTTCCGATTGATATCACTGGCGGTGATGATGTATTAGATGACAGTGACGGTGAGGAGGAAAGACGTAATGTAGTAAGCGAAGCATTTGCAGATGATGATGTCGTAGAAGAGTTTAGAAAAGAAAAAGAGGAAGAGGTAAGTTAAAAATATTATGATACTTGTGACATATTCTTGTCTAGAATATTTTAGCAAATGTGACATTAAATTTAGTAGTGTCATATTCTTGTCTAAAATATTTTAGCAAATGTAGCATCAAATTTATGCGTAGGTGAAAAAGGCTCAACCTAAGGATGTTGATTTAATTTTACCTGGATGGGGTAATTGGGGTGGAAAAAATGTTGAAGTTTCAAAACGTAAGAAAAGACGTTTTATTTTAAAAATGCCTAAAGATTTACCCCGGAGAGATGAAAATAAGGGTGACGTAATAATATTTGAAGAAGATAATCCCAAAATAAAGGAACATCAGGTTAACGAGCTACCATATCCATTTTCAAGCGTTAAAGATTATGAAGCCAGCATTAGAATGCCAATTGGAAGAAATTTTGTATCTGAAAATTCTCATAGAAAATTAATCGAACCCTCTGTTAAAACACATATGGGAAAGATTATTGAACCAATGAATGAAGACATTTTGGTTAAAAAAAATGATAAAGAAAATCGAAAATTTATTCCTAAAAGAATAAATAAAAAACAAAAGATAAAACGAATAAAAACAAATAAGCAATAAAATAAATCAGGAAATGTACTATTAAAAAGAATGTTTTAATAAAAAATATTCAAATTTTAGTTTCCAAAATATGTATTATAAAATGTATGTAATAATAAGCTTATATTTCTTCTTTGTCTATTATTGGTTGTTAATCACTTAAATAAATAAATAAATATATATATATATATTTATTTATATATATATATTTTTTTATTTATTTGATATATATATGTAAATAAATAAAATTAAAAAATGTTATAGTAAAATATAATGAAAAATGGAGTTCCTAAATTTTTATATTTTGCAATTATATATAATTTGTATATCAAATTAGTTATCAAAGTATATCGTTCTTAAAATTGATAAAAGAATTTATTACAGAATTTATTAATATACTGTGTGATTAGAGTATAATTATAATTAAAACGTAATATAATATGTTTTTTTATTTTTTATAAAATACTTGCATATATATATACATATATATACACATTACACCATATATAT